GATACATGCCCAGTTGGGCAATGTATATGGAGCCAAGGATCCGCAGAGTGATGAAAAGGACTAGAATGGACAATGCAATGTCAGCAAAGCATCAACAGGCGATGTACATCCCGATACATACAAAATAGCACAATGTAGCGCAGCGGAAGACTCAAGGATATGTCCTGATCTATCTGATACTGACGCGACATCCCATCATACACCACACATGTGAGAGAGGGAGGAGGGACCGCATACACAGAAGAAAGGTCCCTCCTTGCACACGCACATGGGGGAGATACCACGGATGAGAGATGGGGGAAGAGGCGAGATGAAGACGGAGGCGAGGGAGAAGACCAAGATCGCGATAGCGAAGTCCAAAAATAGTCCCTTGCCGAATGTCCAATCAATGTCTGTCACAAAATGTTGGATCAGATCCTGGACGCAATGCCTGATGTAACCTCTGCATATAACCTCTCTCTCTCTCTCTGAAAGAAGAAGAAGAAGAAAGAAGAATAAGAAGCAAGGAGGGAGGAGAGATGGAGGGGAGACGATGAAGAAGAAGAAGAAGACATCGTCCTCCTTGCTGTCTCACCTGCAGGTAACTGTGGCGCGCACTCATCGTCTTTGCCGTGTGCGGGTCGCCACGCGGAGTCCCAGCTATGGTGCCAGGTAAGTCCGCCGCTGCAGGTATGGCCTCCGCCCCTCTGCCTACCTACGCCTCTACTTGCTAACGCAACGCTGTTGGGCTGCTCCAGCAGTGTGTCGCCCAAGATTGAGCTACTCGAATTGTGTATGTGCTCAGCAGAGGCCCAGCTATCTGTAGCGCTGGGCCGGCTGGGTGCACCTCTGTGTTGGCCTGAAAACCGTCCACACGCTCTGGGCCCCTACTGGGCATCCAGACCGTCGTGCTGATGCAGCAGGGCACCAAAATGCGCCTGGCCTCGAACGGCCCTGCTCCCTGGTGTACCCAGCCCAAGGCGTGGCCTTGGGGAGTGCAAGTCGGAAACGACGTCTGAACAGACGAAAAATAGGACATGCAACAAATAAATAAATAAATGAATGCTGTCGCAAATCCGTACCGACGGCCTAAGGGCCGCCGTGGGCCTCCAGGGCGTGTGTCTGATGGGCACGCGGCCTGGGGGCCACTCAGCAACCGCCGGGGTCCTGAAATGGGGCCGTGTGCAAGCGCAGCATGTAACAGTGTGTGTGTGTGTGTGTGTGTGTGTGTGTGAGAGAGAGAGAGAGAGAGAGAGAGATCTGATCGGTCGGTCCGATCGATCCGATCAGGTCAATCAATCAATCAATCAATCAATCGATCAACCTTTTCTTCTCTTCTTCTTATCTTCTTACTCTTATAAAGGAAAACGTGGGTCTCGCGTGACGCTGTCCCGCAAGGCTCTTTTCCCTGTTGGGGCCAGGGTGGCTGTGTGAGGCGGGGTTCCTGTCAGGGCCATCACATCTTTCGGTTTTCGGATTATTTTCCCCCTGTCGTTTTCGGCGCATGTTCGAATGCAAGTACATAGCGCAGGGACCCGTAGTGCCGTTGCTTTTTCTTTCCCGTAGATTCATAGTTTTTTTTTCCAGTAGTTTCATTAATTTGCTTTTGGTAGATTCTTTTTTTTTTGTCGTTTTCTACAGGCAGCGGGCCTCATGCTGTGCACAAAAGACAATAAAATATCGCGGTGCCTCTTTCGATCTTCTAGCGGAATATCCATTCTAACTTTGGGCCTCGCTGCACTACTTCCCAAATGTGCAAAATGAGACTGAATCCACCACTAGAACATGGAAAGATACAGTGCCAACTTTTTTGTCTTTTGTGCATGTGGAGAGTAGTGCAGCGAGGCCCTTTACCCCGTTTGCCCCGTTAGGGCCTTGCCGCACTGCTCACGATGCGTACAAAAGACCAATGGGTGAATTCCGAATTCGTTGGTTTTTCGAAAAACTACACTTTATTCTTCTCTCAAATCTTTGTTTAGGGTTTGGGAAAGATTCGTTGATTTTTCTTCTCACGAGATTCTTTTTTTTTTTTGTCTTTTTCTAAGAAAGGGCAAATGGAATGCAATCCCATAGCTAGCGTGCCTCATCCCGTGCACAAAAGACAAAAAATATGGCAGTGTAGTTTTCAAACTTCTGGCGGAAAGTCATTCTAAGGGCATCGCCACACCACTCTCGAAATGTGCAAAATGAGAATGAACCTCCCGCTGGAACATGGGCAGATGCACCTGTCATGTTTGTGTTTTTTTCACATTTCTGGAGTGGTGCAGAGAGGAACTCTGAGCCGTTTGGTGAGGCTTTGCAGCTTTTTTATTTCCCCCGTTAAACCATGGCGGGCAATGTGTCCCCCTGCCCCCCCCTCTTGGTCTCCGTCGCGTCTGCGGCGGGCATCCTCTT